TCTTTGAATATTACAAAAATATTACAAGAATATTACAAAAATATTGTTGAATTATGATTGAATCCATAACTGATACACTAATCATATTATTCAAAATCATATGTCTTCTAAAGATTAGTTAATTAGTCAAATTTTTCAAGTTTAAAAAATTATGAAATTAAAGAAATTTTATGTTATTATGATTAAAAATGGTGTAACAAGTATGTGACACTTATTTATTATCTGTTGCAATATGTTGCAACTTCAAAATTTTATAAGTTATAACTAGTTGCAACTAGGTGATACTTTATTTGTTATCACATTACAATAGTTAAGGAGTCATCTTTAACTATGATAATATTATTATGAAATAATAGTATTTATATATCTGAGTAGTTATTGTGAAAAGATAGAGAATTTGATATATAATTAAAATTAGATTTATTTTTAGTATAGATTGAATTCTCAAACTATCTCATCAAGAGTATTATAATCATTATAATCATTATAATCATCATATTTTATGAATAATGTATACTATAAGAATAAAAGAGATATATATAAATCTAAAAATTATCTCTTTAGATCTGAGTTGTAGCAAAATTATAGATTAAAGAGTTATGATTCAGAGAATCATCTAATAGTTTACTTTGTAATAGTTGATTCTAAAGAATTTATTTATATATAATCACTCATATACTGTGGATATAATATGATTTATTTTTGATATATGAATTTATTTTGGATATATGAATAAATTTACATTTAAAATAATTATTGCATAATCTATTTTGAGTATATAATATATTTTGTGTGTATTATAAGTATATAATTTAATTTTCTGATGATAGGGATTATCTGGTCTGAGATTAACAAATCTGAGATATTTAAATCTGAAGCATACAAATTCAATTAATATTAATTATACAAAAATTCAGATGAATTCAAGTTTGATTATAATAATTTTTTTAAGTAACATGAGATAAATAAAAAATGATATGAACTCTGGTTGAAGTCTAATTATATATTCTCATAATGAATATATAATAAAATATAAATATATGTTAAATATGAGTAGAGCTCTGGTAGAACTCTAATTAAAAATGGTAAAATGAACAGATGCATATATAAATACTTTAATCAAAGAATAAAAAAATAAAAATATAAAGTACTATAATCTTGAAAGAAATTGAAATATATTTTGACATAGTATTGCAGATAAAATCAATCAAGAGTATAATACTAATTTTACTGGTTATTATTATAAAGAAAAATTTTTGAATCTTATTTAGAATTATAATATAAGTTTGCATGATAAAGTATTATTTTTTATTTAGCTCACTATTAATAAAATTTAGGATTTCTAGACAATATGTGAATATATGTCAGGTAAATATGAAATATGAAGAAATTGATTAGATGCATAATACTTTGATGAGTTTTATATACATTTCTGAAAGAGATCCAAAGATAAATTCAATAGAATTCATACTATCAATACCTCAAACTGTAGATAAAATAGAAATATGAAAAGTATAACATCAGCACCATCTATTGAAGAAGTTTCATCAATGCTAAATAAGAGTTGTCATGAATTTCTCACTGATTAAAGAGATTGATCCACATCTCCAATTTAAAAAACTTCTAGCAGAAGAGATGAAATTATCAATCAAGATAATGCAAGTGGAAATTCAAGTAATAACACAAATAATGTGAGCAGAAATTTAAATAATATAATATACTTATCATCATCTGAGTTAGCAAATATGATCTCAAAACTTAATACATCTATATCATGAAATGATAATGATCTTAATATGCCTAACATTAAAGATAATCAGTTACCTCAAGTGGAATCTATAAATGAAGAGGGGAGTTAGATCTTGTCTCACTATGCAGAACTTTATTTGAAAAAGTAAATTTATCTAAATATTTAGTTATTATTTCCAAATGCTAACATATCTGAAAAATTGAATACATAATGTAGATATTCGATCAATACAACACATGTTATATCACAGAAGAAAATCAAAGATTATGAAACCTTTCATGCATAATATAGGGCAAAGCATAATAATCATGTAACTAGTTGATTGCATTCATCCAGAAAAATTTATGCTAAAAAGTAATGTAATACTTATATTTTGTAATGATCAAATTTTCATATATATCACTGATTTCTCATTATTTGTTGAAAAAATTTTTTTCGGATCAACACTCACACAAAAATTTTTATATATAAAGTAATATACCATATCTATTTTCACAATCAAACTTGATACATACTTAGTCGAAAACTGAAATACTGACACTCTTGTTCTTTACTTGCAACAGCAAGACCTAAAGCTTGATGATAAGAACTTTGCTATTATCCATAAAGAAAAAATCAATAATATCTTCTTTCTTAATATGACTGAAGTGAAATTTTTCAGTTATAGATTAAAGGGTGAACCAGCAACACTTCTTGCAAAAGAGGTCAAGATACTCAAGAACAATATGAAAAGGATATACTCATCATATCATATTTTGAAAGATTTTAAAACAGTCCTAGCGAAGTATGAAATTATAAGTGGAGACATAACTCATATTCCGCAATTTATATCAGGTAAGAAATGTGATGATAAAGAAAACTTTCATATAACTTCATTTACTAATATTTCATGATAATTAGTCACATTTAAAATTGATGAAGATAATCTGGCATTCAAGTTTTACATTAAAGATATACTTTGCAGGATAAAAACATGGGACCAGTAGTAAATACTAATGAGACAATGCAGTGTGAATATATTTTGACAATCTTGCATGTATCTGTTAGTCTTCTCAAAGATTTGGTTATCTCTTCTTAGGCTAATATAGTTGGCAAAGAAAATACTAGTCATATTAACTATATGATCAAAAAAATAATCAATGAAATATTGGAGAAAATTATTTACATAACTAAGAGTAAACAAAATCAGGCCATGATGGGTATTTGCCAGAGTTTAGTGCAATGTTGAAGTGCGTGCAATGTTAAGTATACCTATTTTTCTTTACAGATTGATGATAAGTATTATTATTAATTTTCATTCTTTCAGATGAATCTAGATATGATCAAGAAAAAGCAGAAGATTGACAAAGCATTCAAAGCTGACTATAACTATATCTATGATATAGTTAGTATCAAAATAGACTGGTACTTTATCCTTCATACTATCAATGCTATCTATTATATGAGTAGAATCAAATACCATATCTCACTTACAGAAGTTATTCTCGAAGATGATACTGAATTGCAAAAAAGTGTTAAGAGAATTTTAGAGGTAATAGTGAGATTATTAAAAGATAGGCTATCTGCTAGTGATGAACCATCAACTAAGAAAAGATGTGTGCAAGAGAAAATCAGCAGAGCTGGCATGATCAAAGAATGATGTAATATTTAGGAGTATCTATTGAAATTTACTTTTTTCATTAGCTAGTTAATAAAAAAATAAAATTTTTTACATGTTACGCATATCTCTGATCCAGAAAAGTTAATGTATTCCATCATCGCTATTATTTTTTCTTAGCAAAAGTGAATGGTATAACTTTTGGTTATGTACTCATTAATTTATTTATTCAAACTTTTAAATATATCTGCATCTTGTATAAAAATAATAAATACGTAATCCAAAGTCAATACATTAGAAGAATATAATTCCAAATTTATAGCTGAGATTGCTGAGCTTAGAAAGGAAAATGTGAAGCTGAAGAGGATTATTGAGGAGAATGAAAAGTGCAATATTAGAGTCAAGAAATTAGAGCAAAAGAATATAGAGCTTGAGACTAGACTTACTATATTAGAATAAGAAAAAGAAGAAAAAAGTATTTCTATTGCAAAGCAATGGCTCTTCAAGCCTATAAAAGATATTTTACACTCTCCAGTAAAATCTAATGATACTCTCAAACAGATAATGCTACAATGTAGTGATATTCCAGTATCTGATATAACTGATAATATTTTTGAATAGGTGGTCTTGCAAAATAAGGATGCTTCAGCATCTGATGTATCCAATAATATTTCAAATTCTGGTAAATATCAGTCTCAAGTCTCTGATTCATCTTTGACTATATCACCTATATGTGTAAAGTCTAAATTATCAGAAGATAAAAGGATTGATAATTTTCTGAATGAAAAATGTAATGAACAGATTCATAATGAAATAAGAGAAAGAAATCAGAAAGAAAAGTTATTACAGAGTAATGAAGCTTCCATTTCTCAAGCCCAAAACTCATATTCAGATAGCTTGCCAAAATATCATGATGAATTACACATTAAATAAATTTTGGAATCATAATCTATTCCTAATATTCCTAATTTACCTGAAGAATTGTCAGAATAAAACACAAACTTACAAAAAATAAAAATCTCTGAAATAGATATACAGTCTTTGATAGAAGAATTAAAAATAGAACCTTTAATGGAAGATACCATTAAAGTTATCAATGTTGATAAAAATTTTATAGATGAGCAATCACTCATAATCGAATTGGTCCATCTATTTAAAAAAATAAGCTTGGCAAAAAATAATACTAAACAAGCCAAGATGAAAGAAATTATGAGCTGATACCAATATAGAAAGCATTTCAAAAAAAGACTTAATAATATCTTACCTAAAAATCAAAAAAATGATAAGAGAGCCTATAATTTAGCAAGTAGATAGATTTATGATAAAATATTATAGTATCTTTCAGATATTTCTCATGTAAGTTTGCATAAAAGAACTTAAAGAACTAAACCTATATACAAATTATTTAGCGTAATTAGAGAAGATAAAATTAAGTGATTTAAAACTTATAGTGCAAATAAACTCTTGAAGCTAACTAATATACAAATTGATATAATTAAGAAGCTATATCATGTAACCAAAAGTCACATACTCATATGATTGAGATTAGTATTTCACCTAATAATATATTGTCAGAAAATAAGATTCATGACCATGCTTACTTTCATAATAAGACATTGTTATAATATTCTGATCTATATAAAGTATTTATTTCTGAAAAATTTGATCATTATGAATTATTGAGAGTTTATTATGCCCAATATGTAAACTAGATCATGAAGATAGAAAAAGTGTAAAAGATAGATACAAAGCTAGATCCTATTTTATAATATGTGAAAAGTATAAAATCAAAATAACAGAATAAATCATAAAGTTATCATATAGTTACTATATGACTATTTTCAATAATTATTAATTAATGATATTTTTTTTTAATTATTATTTCGAGGTATGCACAACTCATACTTAATTTGAATTTGCAGTTATATAAAATAATAATATGAATAAAGCCTATTTTGGAGAAATGATACTTCATGCCTTAATCCCTAAATATTTGGACTGATATGCTAAATTAGTTGAAATAGCAAGTTCTTTAACTGATAAAACTTATTTGATCTTATATAAAGCATATATAGAAGAGACTGGGCTTGATCCCTGGATAAATTCTGAAACTTCTGAATCCTCACAAAGTGAAAATGCTAGCAATCATCATTCACAAGACTGTATCATCAAAATTTCTAAGTTTTTGGAAGAAAAAGATATAATTCATGAAGTAGTAAATAATCATTTCTCTTTCTTATCTTTCACTAATTCGAATATATAACATTAAAATATATTTAAATATACTAATTCAGAAGCTAAATACCCAATATGTAAAGAGATACATATACATTAAGATATATGAGACGATTGGAGCTGTCTAGATAAAAATGACTACTATTTTCTTAATTGCCCTTTTTGTATTAATCAAAAGAAGGTTATAATCACTATACAAAGCTTATGGGAAATTTAAGTGAGTGTATTAAACAAAATCTGCCTTTATCAGCCAGAGACTAGCTTACGTCAATATATTATTGAACATAAAATGGATCCTAAGAATTTTTCAATCATTACAGAAGCTGAAAGAAATTGGTGAATCATCAGGTATTTTCATAGAGATTTGGAAAGAGATATATATTTTTATTATGGTAAAATAGAAAGTAAAAAAGATCCTAGAAAATATCATAAATTTTTAACAGATCGGGAGAGGCTGATTAATGGAGAGTTATCACATCATAATATACTAAAAAGTGGTTTAAGTACTGAATAGCTTGATAATTTTATGGAAGAATAGAAAGAAATTCATGCTCAATTTGTACAAATTTTTAGCCAGACATAGTGAGATCCAAAGACTCTTATGCAATTATGAAATATGTAATAAATAATAACTTTATTGATAGTCATATTTATGAACTACAATAAAATTAATTTTTATATGGTCTATATTGGTGACCAAATTTCATACTAATTAATTAACAGCAACTATAATATACAATTTATTGATCTACCAGTTATCCTTTAACATTTCATGATATTGGTTCTTTTGTATTTTCCTTAATAAAATTAGCTATTAATAGTAAAGCTAGTGATCAGACACATATTAATCTTCTAACTTTGCTAATTTAGCAGTTTTATATATAGTATTTTGATGCACTTCATGAATAGTGCATAACTAATTATTACTATGTATACAATTACGTATATTTCACAAACTTCAATTTGACAATCATTTAGTTCTAATTAACTTATTTTTATGATATTTTTGGATAGAAGAGATAATCTTTTTCTTTGTAACATGAATGCATTTCTTTCAGAGTTTTTTTGAATCAAGATCATACCAGTCTGAACTCGTGAATTCTGAATTGGAGCTGAATGAATTAATCTCTGTCTCAGATTTTATTCATGATAGCTTTACTTTATTTATACAACTTAGTTCATATTCAATAATACAAAGTTTTTCAAAAATTCTATACTCTATATCATTTTCTATAGAATAAACTGACTTCCAAATATTATTGAGATGCATTTTGATTGAAAGATTTTTACATCCATCACCTAAATCTACTTTAGAGTATTTCTTATTCTTGCTAACTCTTCTATATGTTAAAGATACAAGAGATATATCATCATGATATCTCTTTCATTGCTTATTATTTTCGCTTTTGAAAAATAAATTCTTAAACATATTTGTGATCTTCTCTATTAATAAATCAGACTTAGATAAGCTATTTTTACTAGAGCTGGCTTTGTTAAAATCTTCATCAATTAACGGGATACTTATATCATCTATTACAATTTTAGTATGGAGATTAAAGCTCATTTTTGCTTCACGCATCCATAATTAATCCTATCCTAGCATCAAATCAAATGATAAATTTTTGCAAATTTGAAAGTCTATTATTTCAGTACTATCTAAACTTCATCACTTTCCTTTATACTGAAATTGCAAATCTAAGTATTTTATTTTTTTGCCTATCAAATTATCATCAAATATATCTTTTAATCCATAATCTTCTTCAAGCTTATTATACAAGCATCTGCTAATAGTATTGGATTTAGATATTATATCAATTAATGCTTTTACTAGAATTTTTCTCTCTATGAGTAATTCTATAAAAACTATGTCAAATATATATTATAATCAAAAAAATAACTCAGAAAATAATTACTCATTCTCCGCTACTAAATATAATTATTTATAATTTATAATAAATAATTAAAAATAATTCTGCCAGTCTCTCTGATATAATTACTGAATACAGAAATAAAATCTGTTTTATCTAATAATATACTAGTAAATATTGGAATATGTAGAGCTAGATCAGAATCAGATTATTTTTTATCTAAATAATCAGGATCCATTATAATATGATATAGTGAATATAATTTATTATGTATGACAATTCAGAATTGGACTGTTCATATGATAAATTGTAATTTTTAATATATATACTTGGATTGAGTCATTTTATTACTTTTTCACTAATATTTTTATAACTATTCAAATCAAGATATTTTAAATTAGGATACAAATAGGCTATTTCTTTAATTATTTTATCAGAAATATCACAAAATCCAAGTTTAAAATACTGAAGTTTAGGACAAGAATGAATAATATTGCATATCAATAGTTTAGTAATGAAATTACATCCTTCAAGATCAATATATTCTATTTTATGATATGTATGAGCTAGTGTCTTAACAATCTCATCATCAATATCATTATGGGAAATATTGAAATGTTTTAAATTTGAAGAAAACTTAATAATAACTACAATAAGAGAATTGTTTCAAAAAGTCATAATCCTGATAAAATCAAGATATTTTATTTTGAAATATGCTTGTATTAATATATCAGCATCTTTGATTTCTTCATACCTAAATGCAATATCTAAAGATCATAAGTTGATACATGAATTTAAGATAAGGCTTATAGATTTATCAGTAGTCCAATATGTTTCATTAAAATCAAATTCTTGTAAATTATGACATGATTCTGCAATTACTATTAATGATTTATTAGTAATACTTCTATAAAAAGAAATATTTAGATATTCTAATTTATTGCATATTTGTGTAATCTTACATAGCCCTCTATTAGATATCATTTGATTATCCTATAAATTAAAATATTTTAAATTTGAATATGATGAAGCTATTTTAATTAATGTCTTATTATTAATATCTACGCTATTTTTAAAGTCTAAATAAATTATATTTGGATAGTAATTTATGATAGATCTAATTAATTTATATGTAATTGAATGATAATGTGAAATTTTTAAGTTTTTCAAGTTTGAGACATAAACTAGTTTTTTCTTTCTGCATATTAATTTTATGAAATATTTTAACTGTGTTTGATATTATTTACAATAATTATATTCAACTGGAAAATACTATTTATAATGGATATCATTATCTTTTAACTCAATTATTCTCCATAGTAATGGTATATCACACTTATACCAAAGATGATTAACAAATAAAGCAGGATATAGAAAATGATCAATTTCTAAAAAATATAAGATCTGTTCTAGTAATTCTAATAAATCAAAAATATTTAGTTACTATAGTACCATTACTATTCTCAAGAATGTATATTATATATCTTTAATTAGAAAAAACAACTAATATTTGAATAATTAATTTTAGATATATATACTATGCATTTTTCAGATATTCTCAATCATGCTTAACTTTGTAACTAGCTTATCTAATGACATATCTGTTCTGTATCTTCTAACTTTCAACTGATTATCACAAGATAATTCACAGAAAAAATATTTCTTAAGGTAAATTTCATTATTATTTACTCTCAATACTGTTATGTAATATTTCACCATCTTATAATATTCTTTTACTGTTAAGAATATTTATTTTGATGATGGGCTCATGAAATATCTAATAATATATTAGTTTCATCAAGTAATATAAGAGTATGATTAGGAAAATTTATTTCTGACATATTTGTCTGAATCCATGATGAATTTAATAATAATATATGTACAAATTCAGATTTATTAGGAACTAAAATATCATTAACTTCTACCTGTTTCCATTTATTATCTTTAGACCAGAAAGAGGAGTTTATATTATGAACTACTCCCAATATTGATATGCTATCTTCTATAGTCTCATAATATAAGGATGATGTTGCATTTAAATTCTTTGGTGATTTTTCAGATGGAAGATAGATTAATAGTTTTGCTTTTTCTTTATGAGAAGTATCAATCTTTAAGTCTAGCATATCTACTAAACTCCTACCTATAATATTACAATTAGTGATGATATTTAATATAGTTTTTACTGATATTTTATTAATTTTACAAGACAAAATTCTTATTATGACATTTTATTATAATTATATATTTAATAATATTTTTTTACTCATAGCAATAAATAATATTATATTATTGATAACAACTAAATCTATTATCAATTCAAATACTAACTGATTAACTATAACTAAAGAATTTGCTAAAAAATTAGAAGCAAAAATTATTGAAAATAGCCATAAATCTCAGAATAATTATAGGATGATATCCAATATTGTTAAGTAAGTGATAGATAAAAAAATCCGAATCTCTCTTGACCAATTACTAAAGATAGTAAAATCCAAGATTTAGCAGGATATTATAAATATGATAATAAATCTTAATATTTCTTAAAGAAATTATATATCATGCAAGTCTAAAAGAAAAAAGAAAAATTTAAATAATATTGTATCTGAGTTCTTATCTTCATCTGAATCTGATTTTAAATTATCTAATGATGATAAAGATTTTATTGTAAATATAGTGAAAGCAAAGAAGTGTAATTAGTAATTGTATAAATCTATAATATCTAATATCTCAGTATTTTTTATTATGAAATAATGAGCTCTGCTCTCTCTAGTTATTAGAATAATTAGTCTATCATTCATTATATCATAATAATTTGATGTGATAATAATTATCTTATATCTTAATACTAATTGATGAAGATATTTTATAACAAAATTAGAATAATTATATTAGATTTATATTTTATTTTGCAGATTATTATTGCATCACATACTGTGTTATATATAACTTACTGCATCACAATTATCTGATTATACCGGATTTTCTTTTCATTATCAATTTTTAATATTTACTGCATTACAAAGAAAGAGAAAAAGTTTTTTTCTAGCAATACTAGACCATTTTTTCTTAAATAAAAATATATCAAAAGCACTCAAACTGTTAGAAGAACGCACAAATACAAAAAAATCTGGCCAAAAAGGCTCTAGTTTGATCAAAACAGACCAAAACACATTGGAAATAATTAATAAAGAAAACAACAAAAAAATAATAGAGAATACCAACCAAAACTTGTTCACCAAAGCCAACAGTAACAATAAAAAAGACTCCTTTTCTTCAAATAACCATAACATTGAAGAAAATTGCCCAAAAATATCAGAAAATTCACCTGAAAGAATCTTTCAACAAAGAATAAAACTCCTTCGCACACTATCCATTCTGTCAAAAAATCTCTTCTCAAAAAGAAAGCTAATAATTATCCACAATATAGATACAGAAAAAAACAACAATAATAATCAAAAAACAACAGAAGATAATCAATCAGATACCTCATTTCAATCATCTCTTCTCACCTCAATCTTTTCATCTTTTGACAACATGATGAAAAGAAAAAAACAACCAATTAAAAACATCAATAATAATATCAATAATAACAATATTAGCAATAATGCCAATAATAGCAATAACACCAGCAAAAACAAAAACACAA